CCAAGAAACTGAGTGAAAAGAACCTTGGGCCCTATCCAATAATAGCCCAGGCCAGCTCTCACTCATTCACCCTGCATTTACCAGACTCTATGCGCATTGTACACCCAGTCTTCCACATATCCCAACTTGAACTGGCCATCCCAAATACCATACCTAACTGGACTCAACCTCCACCACCACCGGTAGATGTCAATGGTGACTTAGAATTTGAAGTAGCAGAGATACTTGACCCAAAGGTCAACTGGCACAGAAAGTGTTGGTTGCAGAACCTGGTCCAGTGGACCAGTTACAAGGGAACTGATGAGGGGACCACCTGGGTACTAGCAACAGAGTTAGACAATGCCTCAGAACTCATTCAGGAGTATCATGACCAGTACCCAGACAAACCTGGTCCTTTCAAGAAATAACATAGAACCAGTCTCAAGTTTTCTTTTCTCCTTATCTGTTTCTCTCACACCTTAGAACTGGAACCAGGCATTGGCATTTGCAGGTGTACACAACAAAAAGGGTAACTACACTATGCACACATGACCTTAGACCTGGGACCCAGCAGAACTGGCACCAGTCTGGTCACCTGACTCAGACCAGCACTGGCTTTCCTCTTCCTCCTCCCACAGCCCCACCAACTCTTCATTGAGCCCCTTGATGTCCCTGTCTTCCTTGTTGGTGGTGTCCCAGTCTGAGGGCACATCCAGTGCCAAAAACTCAAAGTGTTCTTCAACATAGGTTTCATAAGACCAGGCAAACTGGTAAAAGTTTCTTGAGGCCTCCCACTGGGCCATGGCTAGGCTGACCATGTTGTCAGCCATGTGCTCCACTGCTTTGAACAGATGCTCCATCTGGTCACCAGTGACAGGGCTGGCCCTGGTTTCTTCACCAGCCTTCTTCATTGATGGCCCTTTGCCCACATCCTCTCCCTTGTCACCTGCACCCTTGAGTGCCTTGGCAGATGGGTGCCTCAACCTCTTCTTCTTCTCCCCAGTGCAAGGGGAGGTCACATGCGGTCACTAGCATCATGCAGCAGCCACTGGTATGGGGAGAAAGAAAGGCTGTTATACAGTGGAGTGGCCCAACATTGCATGGCACACAACAGGAATTGGGTGCCCAAGGGTTTGGTACTATGTGGTTCAAGTGAGGGAAGTGCCATGCAGTACTGGAATGTGGTAAAAGATTGTAGGGGAGCCCAAAGAGCTCAATATGCTATGGTGTTACACTAAGCCATGCCACAGAAGTGTACAGCAGTAGGTAAGAGGAAGTGGGAACCAAAGAAGCATTCTGGACCAGGGCAGCATGCATTGTATAGTGAATGGTGGAGCTCAGCATGCAGAACTACTGCTGTGTATAGGGGTGTTTGAAGGTGCTTCATGCTGCAGCACCTCATTTTAGCAGTGCAAGTCTAGGGTCTTCTGGAAGGTGCAGCAGAATGCAGCAGTCTAGAGGTAGTATGCTGGAGCATTCTCAAGCATGGAATAAAGCTCACCATTGTCAATAATGCCTTGGTAACATATCTTGCCAGGCTCTGCATTGGGTCACACAATGGTATTTGATGCTGCAGGATTCTCATGTTGTCACTGTCTGTGCTGCTAATGTACTAGTATGACTGTACTGCAAGGATATGTCTGGGTTGCACTGGGTCAGCAGTATGGGCAGGATTATATGGGTAGATTTGCATCTGTTCAGGTCACTCGACTATACCCATGTGCAGGCATTCTGGGGGACTGGATTCACATTGACCAGCATTATTTAAAGGAAAGGTAGGCAGGAATGCTCATTCAAAGGTACAGGGATAGCCAAACAGGAGTATGGTATAATAGACAAAAAGGAAATGTAAATCAACATCCATCCATGTAGCAACACCCTCATCATCAGCATCATCCTCATTTGCATCATTGGCAGCTGTCCCCAAAGACAAATATATCAGCATCTGGCCAGTCACCCTGACATTGACAGATGGTCCTGCAATAAGGCTGGTGGCTGGCAGGCTGTCAACAGCCAGAGAAAGCAACTCACCTGGGAGATTGCAGAGGATACCAGGATCAATGGCAACCTCCTGAACCATTGTGGTAGGTGGAAGGTCAAGCATTCTAGCACCATTATCAGGAATGACTGCCAGGCAAGTACTAAGTGACATCCTGATGGTGCCAGGGTGGGATGGGCTGGAGGGATCAGGTCCTGTGTGTTGCAATGGGAGTTCTGAAGGGGTGTTTCTGAGTAGTGACAGACTAATAAGAGAATATACTCAGGCTTCTATTGGGAGAAGACTGAGGTACAACTAACCTATAAGAGAAGATACTAAATAGCTTCAGTAAGATAGCTGTAACTCATAATAAAGGAACCTCACCTCAGGCTTCTATTGGGAGAAGACTGAGGTGCACAAAGGAAAAACAATGTGCTGAAATGACTGTGCATATGTAAGATATTACTGGTGTAAGAAATATAATTAATGCACATCAACAGGGAGAAGGCACTGGCACATGGCCTTGACAATGTCACAGAGTGTCTCCAACTCTGTCTGGGTATTGGCAAGGATCTGCTGTGTATTGGCCAACTTGCAGTGGGTATTGAGAAGATCCTGGGCCATGTCTAGCTGCTGCTGCCACAATGCAACCATTTCCTCTTCCATGCGATTGAAAGGGGTGGCATTGGGTGTTGCCAGGCAGGAAGGGGTAGCAGGATGGCTGGTAGATGTTGCTGGCCCTTGCAACACAAGACTCGATGCCTGCTGACCTGACTGCTGCCATGATGGGGTCACAATGACCACTCCATCAAAAACTATATTAGGATCTTATAAGAATATTGGAATGGGACATATAAAAGAGATACTTTGCCAGTGAGAGCTCATGGTCACTGCAGGGGTTGTCTTGGGGGTTGTGGGAGTCATGATTTGAATGGGTGCCCACCATTTCCTTGTCTGCTGGGGGGCTGTGGCAGGTTCTCTGGCTTTGGCAATGGATGGCCCCACAATAGGGCTGGAAGGATGGCATCGGCTTTGGGGATGGGATGGTGCTGGCATTTGATGAGGTTCAGAAGGTGCTTCTGGGATGGCAGTGGGATGATTGGGAGGGGGGCACCTTGACTGGGAGTGTGCAGCCTTGACTTCTGCAAAGATGCTGCACCAATACTTCATACAGCTGCATTGCCAGCATGCTGACCCTGGTTTCACCATGCATGGGAAGTTCTTCTCTTTGCACCTAGCACATCAGTCTTCTTTGGCAACAACAGGGTAGTTGGCAGCAGGAGTGGCAAGATGGGCAGAGCAACCACAAATAGGTCAAGAAACAGATGCTGCACCTTTGTCAGCATCACTTTCAGTGGCAGGCTTTGCATGCTTCCTGGGCTGCTGACTCTTTGGGCAAGCAATGGGGGCAGGAAGGCAGCTTCTTGTTCTGCCACAGGGTTCTTTGGAGGTGTCAGTGGGCTCACTAATTGGCCTACTTAGCTGAATGGGCTCTGATGGGACCCTTCACTGGCACATGCAGCTCACTCACTGATGCCAGTATCATTTGTGGCATCCCCTCCACACACAACTACTCAACCCCCCACTAAGGATCATCCTAACATGGATGAGGAACCTGATGCAGAACTGACTGCTGACAGTAACCTCATGGCCTCCAGATTGGGGTACAGAGCTTGGCCATCAGTAGAGACAGATGCTGCTGCTCATGAGTGTTCCACCTTTCATTGTGACCACATTTTCAATTTGTTAGGTCGCTTTGTGGCACTTCAGTGGCTTGCAGACAATTTGGGGATACAAGGTATTCATGAGGAAGGACTGATAACAACATGTATGTGTTTTTGCAATATCATTCTCACATATGTTAATAAGTGAATAGTGACCAAGGCAAGGCAGCTAGCAATTCTGCTCTCAGCACCAGCCTCAGAGCACCCAGCACCACTGAATACTGCTACCAATGGGCCTATTGTCACTGCATACAATCACTACAGCAATATCTTGGTCAAATCAAGCATAAGGTTTTGGCTTTTGCTTGCAAGGTGAGAGCAGGTTGCATGGACACAGCAATATATAGAAGATTTGATGACAAAGGATTGGGATGGTGAGGATGAAGTGGAGATTGATGAGGACTTATTGTAATTCCTACTGTGAATTGTTGCATAAATTGTAAAGTATGCTACTATTGTTGACAGCATTTCTTCAAGGAACTAGGAGTGGGAACACCATCATCTGGCCACTTGGGAATCTTTCTTGCCCTTGTGGAGTGTTGTGACCCATGCTCATCAAATATGCCAGTGTTAGCAGCACCTCCTACAATTAATAATGGTAAAATGTCAGCAATAGTTGGGGATGCTGTAAGAGCTACTTGCCCATCAACCTCATCAGCAACTCCTGTCTTGCCTTCAGCTGTGTAGGGACTCTCTGACTATTCTTTGGCACCTGCTCATTTTGTGCCACATGGAAGGTGTCAGCTGAATCAAGGTCCAGCACTTCCACCACAGGAGCCACAGCAACTTTTCACTGCCTGCCATTTGGGGCTTGGCACTTGGGCTCTCCACCACAATGTCTGAAACATGTCCCCTGTCAATTCTACATGGTTGCAGATATTGAAAACCCACCTTGTTGTGACCCCCCAGCACCCATAGAATTTCTGCCATTGGCTGGCACACCATATGGAATTTGTTGTGTGGTGGTGAAATTGTAGCTGGGGCCTTCAGCAGACATGGGGTTAAGTTGTATAAAATGACTATCAAGTGAAGGCTGGCAGCTTACTGCTCTCCCAGCAGCTGTTATTGCCATCTGCTGCCAATCTGGCAATTGGGTGTTGTCTTGCCAAAAATTCAACTGACACATTGGCATCTAGTGCCAAAGCCCTTGTACTCTTATTGCTATTGGGCACCAGGGATGGTCAGGAGCTACTGGCCAGAGGGGCATCTTCGGTATTTGAGCTGACCACTGTAATGCCCATTACATTATTGTGTTGATAATGTAGTTAGTACAACTGCTTGCTTACCAGTTCATCACTGTGATCACATCCCAAACCTGGTCAATTGGCCAGCTGTTTGCCATGCCATCCCCCTGCTGGGTCTGGGATGTCTTTAGCACCTGACTAACATCAGCATCTCCAACCAGCATTTGTAGGGACCCACTGGAATCTCTCCACCTCTTGAATGCAAATATATTGTCAGGATGCTGCATCTTCCACTCCTGCCACCACTCCAAGATTGCTGTCAACTCACCCTGTGTTAGTTGAGTTGGTTCTTTGAATGGAACATCTGGGGGAAGGAACTTGGGTGCAATGTAAATGTTCATGTTGGTTGCTATTGCACTCCATGGCACAGTTGCCTCTGAATTGCTGCACACCTTCCCTGCTATGGATGTCAATGAACAGAAGTCCTCCTGTGGTTACACCTACGGTAGTGCAATGTGACAAATGTATGCATGATATCTTTCAACCTCAGCACCTGCATGTCCAATATGTTGGGAATGTTTGGTGTACCATCCTTGCTGAGCAGCAGGTTGACTTCGTCCTTTGCTGGTTTCTTTTGCTGCTGCAGCTGTGGAGTGGCATCATTGTCTACTGATTCATCATCTGTGCCACCACTCCCAAATGCTGTCCTTGCATACTTGACAAATTTGTCCCTGCAGTCCTCCAAGCCCTGAAATAACTTGCCATGACTCAATTCATCATTGAAATCATGGCTAGACAGGTTGGTCAATATCTGGCAGTATTCAGATGACCCAGGAACAAATTCCTTACACTCCAATTATGACCTCTCCATTGACATCTTCCCATGCCACCATCACTACCACCATTGCCCCACACCACTTCCACATTTCCTTAGCAAACTCCTTGGGACATTGTTGGCCTTTCTTTTCTGTGGTTCTGAGTCCCAGTAAGTAGAAGGCAGCAGTTGGAAATGGCAATGGCACCTACACTGATTGAACATCCCATGGTGGCTGCTGCTCAGTCCATTCTGTGGCCAGATCCTTGGCCTCCTGTATCTCCTCAGCAGTCAGGGACTTCAGTTATCTGCAGCAGTGGTTGCCACACCAACAGCAATATCTAGCCATCCTGGGACAGGGAGAGTGATGGACAAGATTGGAACAAAGACATTGCAGGGAGCAGGGAGGAAGGATCCATATGCTTCATCAAGTGGGGAGACCAAAACAACCACATAAGACCTTTGTAACTGGGTGACAGACCTGAGGTGACCAAAGAACATCCTTCTGGAAGTCATACTGACAAGGAGAACATGCTGACCAAGCTTCATGGGATGGGACAGGGCTGATGATGGTGGAATGAACCAGGGGGCTTCAGGGCAGAGGCTGGTGGGAACACCTGGCAGATATACATAGCCACAGTCTCTGGCAAAAGAGACAAGCTAGATGATCAATGAAGAGGTGGCCATATCTGATGGACTTAGCAAAATGAGCATCTGATGGATGGAGTGCTGTGGAAATGCATAGGGTGTGAGGATCCTTTCCAAACCTGCAAGGCAGAATTGCATGGCTGAGCACTTTAAGCAAGTGTGAGAATGGTGTTGATGTCTTTGGAAATGGTGGAGATACAATGAAAACTGGAATGCCATACTCAAGCACTAAAAACTTTTGATGGGCACTTGACTCACTTCCTCCTTTCTCTTTAGCACTGATGACTCATTCTTGTGTGAAGGATGACTGCTCATGTCCAGCAGTCTTTCTATGCATGAGGGCTTTAATCTTCATCTGCATGGCATGGCACACAACTTGTCGACAAGTTAGGCAGAGTCAACTGTAACCATGTCCACAACACCTTTGGTGTGTGACATTGGGACAATGTGGAATGTGGCACTTCAGCTATGAACTTCTACAGCAAACTGCAGCAGATCACCTCAAATGCCTTTCCTCATCTGGTTCTAGTGGGTCCTGTTTGTTGAGTTGACTCACCTCAAAGCAAGTCTTAGCTGGGTGATAGGATAGGTACAGGGAACTGCTGAGAGTTGCTAGGATGTGGCAGCTCCTGAAACTACTGAAATGGCAGGGATCCCACAAGGGTGCAGAAGATGCTAGCCTGGGAGGATTAGTGTTATTCTGTCTGGCATGTCCCCAACCTGGCATCAACATTCCTGAAGAAGGTGTGGATTATTCACAGTGAGTGATCACATCAATGCAGATAGCAATTTATATACTGTTTAATCCAGTTGGACTCTGTCAAGAAGCTTGGTCATGGATGGAAATTTCAAGGCAGAGCACATGCATCCAAAGGACAGTGGCAGTGAAGCACATGGTTGATGGATGGGAAGGGCTACATGGTAGCCTCTCAGCCATACAAGGAATATTTGAGTGGCACTAAAAATGTGGTTGAGGTCAGTGATGTCTAGGAAAGTATTACCTGATGGACTGATTACAATACAAGATCTCTGATTGTAGCAATCATCACATAGTTAATCATGCAAATGCCAACTGGCAACAGCTTGCATCAACTGGAATAGGGGGAAATGCCTGTGTGTGGCATGGCTGCTTTGTGCCACATTCCATGGTCAACTTCCAAAAGGGTGAACAGTATGAATGCCTTCTAACATCCTAAGCCAATATTGACATCCACATTGCAGGCAGGTTGACATGGACTATGCACTTGCCCATGCTGTGTGGCATGGAACAGTCCATGGCCAGCAGGTGATACATTTCTATGATATTAACTGCCAGTATAGCAAAGGGCTAGCACAACAGGTACAAGCTAACCCCTATATATCATTGCCTGATGGCATGCAGATCTACCCTGGCATTGGGTTGTGGCATGTTCATGGCCACTGCACAGCATGATTTGCATGCTATGTGCCAAATTTCATTGTTGGTGCTGGCCAAGTGGACAGGGAGATCATGGAAACCTTGATAGTAATTCCCTTAAAATGGTCAGAATGCATATGTCTATTCCCCTTATAGCAGAGACTTTTGCATTGCTAACAGGCTATAGCATTGGCATTGAAGCAGAAACTCAAGGTTGCCAAGGAGTCTTATTCCATGGCTGTGGGGAGGTTTGCTGATTTGAATGGTAATGTGCCACTGGCAATCAGCCAATCATGGGCAGAAGAGGTGGAAGTGGCATTACAAAACAGATTGTTGAGGCCTCAGGCCATGGATATAGATGAGGTCCAGCTCCAAGAAGGTAGGTATTTGACATTATCCTGCACAGAATTTGTACTGAGCTGCAATGAAGCTCCCTCTGCAAAGGCCATTGAGATAGATTTGCTTTCCATCCCCCAGCCAGGACAGTCAGAGGGTATGGCAACCTGGATTGCCAAGGCATTGAAGATAGAAGAAGCACAAATCCAACTTTCAGTGGTGTCCTGGCACATCACCAGCAGCACAATGGACGCTCAAATTCTTACCATTGCACATTGCCAAGATCAGCTTCAGTCACATATCTACAGCATTTTAGACACTGCTGAAAGACTGTTTGGAGACAGATTTGATGATGCTGAGCTGTTCCATTCATCTCAGCCATGCAAGGTGGAAAATATTCAATTACCACTGCCATCCAATGTTGGCATGGATCATTTTGACCAAGCTGGCCTGGGATATGTGACAGGAATGGAGCTGCAACTGAGGCAAGGACAGGCCAATGATTGTCTTCATGAACTGTGGCTTGTGCTCACAGAGAAGGCAGTCATCTTTTGAACAGATATTCACCATGGAAGTAATCACTGAATGACCACACATGCCTGGGGAAGGGTGGCCAATGCTGATGTGGCCATGAAATGATATGCTGCTGTATACCACCAGTGCCACATCCAGATTGGCAGGTTAGGTGCTGGGCCCAATATCCTTGAGCAATACAAAGAGTTGAATGATTCCAACCTTGCCATCAGCACAGCAGTATCTGACCCAAATGCCAGAGGTCACAGAGATGAAATGCTCCCTTGGATCTGGACCTTGGATGCACCAAGAGACACTGCTGCTGATGATTGGATGTCAGAATGTGAGAGGAGCAGCCACATTGCAGCAGCATCTGAGATGTACTAATCATTTTCTCTAGTTTATAGGGTGAATTGGCTCAGGATGAGAGCCCTGCATGATAGGTGGCAGGAAGAGGTCCAGTTATTGAAATGTGAGCAGGAGTGGACTAGAAACTTTTTGAAAGCAAGGTAAAATATTGGACTGGCCAAAAGACTGCAGCATTGGCAGAGGAGAAGGCTTGGCAGGCATGTTATGCTGCAAGGCAATGCCAGATCTATGGCAGATTAGCATGTCTTCTGTAATTCCCCATTTCAATGTAGAGACAAGTACTCATCACCACCCACATAATGGTTGAGATCTTCCAAATATCACCCTGACATAACACTGGTATTGCATGTCTGAAATGGGGCACTAGTGGTGCTCAAAATAAACTGAGTTGGAGTGATTTTGGCGCTAAACCCTAGCTGAGTTGGCTGAGTTCAGCACTAAACCCTAGCAGAAACTTCAGCCACGACTTTGACAAATTTCAAGTTCCGATTTTTTAAACCTCCGCTCACTTTGCGTTTTTGGAGTGCTGTGCTACACAGCATGACATCATGTCTTTTTATATTCAACATCTAAGTTCGAACATTCACTCGCGAGCGATATTTGTAGGGGGCAGCTTGGATATGGTATTAGATATGAGTAGATAACACTGTCCTCCTTCTGCCACAATGGTCCATAAGTCTGCTCATCAAGAGACCCTAGAGATCCTGGGCGATGCAGCAGTCAGAGTCGCTGAAATGCAGTTGCAGCAGCTGGGGACTTACATGGAGGCTGACGACAATGACTCCAATTCTAGCATGTCAGATGGCGACTGGACAGATGTCTTGTCCGAACCCTTGTCCCCAATGATCTTATCTCCAATTTCATCCATGTCTGCCTTGTTGTCCTCGTCCCTCAGCTCACTCCATTCTGTGAAGAGGATAACTGCTCCATATACAGTGGCGCTGCAGACCATTTGGGTGCTCTATGATGAGGTCCACATGGCACAAGTCTTCGAGCGACCAGGCATACCAATGATGCGTGCATCTCAACTGCCACTCCCTGATCATTTTGCTATCCACCGACCACTCTTGTTCCAGAAAAAATTGTGCGTCGATCCTGTGATATTCGATGACATTTTAGACCAAATTAGTGACCACTACATATTTTTGAACAAGTCGAACAACAAACAATTACCTGTGGCTGTTCAACTCGCAATTTTCCTTTTCCGCGTGGGGCACTACAGTAATGCATCTTCACCTGAGGATGCTGCCCAGTGGGCAGGTGTTAGTGTCGGAACAGTCATCAATTGTACTCACCGGGTAATGGCAGTGCTGCTAGACAAGCACGACAACTTCATTTATGTGCCAGATGTGCGATCCCCAGAACTGAGGCGTGCACGAGAATTTGCGGAGTCACGAACTTGCTGGTCTTGGAGAAATGGAGTTTTTGCTGTGGATGGAACGACTGTTAACCTTTATGCATGACTGAAGTCATTCGCTGACAGCTACTACGACCACAAATCAAATTTCTCACTAAACTGTCAGGTAGGTGAGTATGATGTCATGCAGAAACAGACAACTTATGGGCATGCAGGTTGTAATAATGCCGCACAACTTGGCCATTGTTGATTATGCGCTGGGGAATCTGGGGAGTGTCCATGATGCATATGCATTTCAGGGAACACAGATCTTCAAGGATCTGATCAGTGTTATGCCACACAGACACTGGACTTGGGCTGATACAGCATATCCCTTGGAGAAGTGGTGTGTTGTGCCATTTAAAAAGCCATGAGGGGGGAACTTGACAAAGCGTCAGAACACATATAATCATTATGTTTCAAAGGTACGTACTTACCAAGTGTTCCATGGCACATCCTTGACAATTCAGAAGATTTGAGTCAGGGTAGAGCATGCATTTGCGGCCTTGAAAGGCCGGTTTCAGTCACTGAGAGAACTCCATATCAAAATTGGTAACAAACCAGGGAACATGGATCTGGCTGTGTACTGGATAACATGTTGCTTTATCCTGCACAATATGGTTGTGCAATTTGAAGAAAGGCACTGTGAAGAGTTGGGGTGAGGGACGATGGATTGGGCGATGAGGGAAGGGGAGCCTGACAAAGGGAATGACAACAATATGCTGCTGGCCATAGAACCAGGATCAGTAGGACAACAATTCCACGTGCACTTAATGGAGAGGTTGATCATGGAGAGAGGGATACGAATCTGAATACATTTTGCATTTTGTAAAAAACAAAGGGCGACAGTGACAACTTGGACAAATGGATAAAGCATACTCGTTCGTCCTACAAGCAACATCAGGTAAGGGACAGAGGAAGATCTGCAGGAGTAATTATCGATGATGTAGGAGTAGCAGAGGACGATGCTTGGCCACCAGCAGCGAGGGCCTTCTGAGCCTTGATCTCTGCAAGCTTGAGCTTGAGCTTGAGGACCTCAGATTCCCTAGAAAACGCCTCTGCATCCAGCTTGCAGAGCTGGATGTCATGGTTCCGCATCTCCAGTATGTGATGGTGGATCTTGTCAGCTTCACTACGTTCGCACTGACGCTTGCGCTCATCGTGCTCAATCTCCTTCATACGCATGTGCATGTTATACTTTGCAATGTGACGTTCATTCTTGAGAAGAGCGATCTGGTATTCTCAGTCAGAAGTATCTCCTGAAAGTCCTTGCAACTTCTCTGCTAGCATGACCTCGAGCTTGGAGACAGATCTTGCATTTCCTGAGCTTCCCCCCAATGCCACAGAACCAGGACCGTGGCCATGACTCTTAGTGACAATAGACAGTGGTGACGACGTTGATGTGACTGTTGAAGTTGATGATGGGACACACTTGGGGTATGGGGAAGAGTGGAACGTACTGCAATTTTCCCAGGATGGTGTCTTGTGCTTCATAGCAGGAGGATTAGGTTGCCGATTATGAAAGTCACTTGGGCCACTGAAAGACTAGATTGTTCATGTTAGTTTTTGTACAGTGCGACCACTTAGGAGATATCAGTAACTTGCCTTAGCAAAAGATGGGACCACTGGCGAAAAAGTATTTGATTGGCTTGGGCCTGCTGTCGGGAGGGAAGAATCATGCATCCAGTCATCGTCACATTCTTCTTCGTCGATGTCATGCCCTCTTGTTTCATTGCCACCAGCCTCCTCTTCCTCCCCTTCCATACACATGCGGTCATCATCAGTGATGACACCAGGAAAACCTGGATGTTCCATCTGCTGGACCATGGTCTCATCGTCATCACACTCTCCAAACAAATCTGGCACAGACTGGGAAGTACCAGAGGGAGGGGGGGGGTACAGAGGGGGAATTGGGTTGAATAATCGCAAGAAAATTGCCAGCACAATCGAGGCCAGGAGTAGAGTTTTGTGGTTGGGTGTCGATTGATGGAATTCCCCTCCACATTTGATCACATTCCTTGAACCAAGGGAAATGTGCAATGGCATCAACTGAAACCAGATCATCAGTGGGACTGAATGGGAACACAATCTAACAGACTCACCCAGCAGGTTTGGATACCTCGCATCACCAGGAATGATCCCACCACCAGTGGACTTGAAACGATCAAGTTGCTCTCGATATCTCTTCTTTAACCTGTGTTGACCATTGAGTTATGCCATCTCCCATCATTAGATAAAGACATACATTGCAAGGCATGCATAGACACTTGTATTGAACTTCTCTGGCTGCATCTCATACCCACTGCAATATTCTGGATCATTTGCAAAAAGCACCTTTGCAACAACAGCATGAATTTCTTTCTTCGTTCACCCATGGGGCTTTCCGAGGGAAGCAGAACCTTCTTGTGCACTTTGCTGCTTAGTGCTGCTGAATAGGACAGCACGATTGGCAGGATGTTGCAAGAGCCAGCTCAGGAGTGTGCTAGTGAGGTGGGGATATCATTCCCAGAAAATGGTTTCCCTCAATTCCTGCGGAGGACCTCCCAGGGTAGTCGTCATTTGCTTGCGAGAGCCAGTAGCCTGGGACTTGGATCCCCTGGTCTTTGGCTTCCCTCTCTGGGATGTAGAGATCGTATTTTGGGGTGGGGATATAACTTGAGAAGGGAAAGGAGGATTAGAACCTGCGTTTCTGGCTGGAATCTGAGGGGGAGTCAATGCCATCATAGTTGTCTGTCTCGCTTGCAGGCGTGCAGAGCATCTTGTGCATGGACGATGGGGAGGCATTTTCAAGCGGAGCTTGAATTAAACCACATGCACTGGACCCACTTGCCATGCTCACACTGATTCCTGGGCCAAATTTGTTTGACTCAGATTTATTTTGAATGCCACTACTGTATAAGAACTGGTGGATCATGCTACACAGATGCCAATATTATTGATCCACACAATCCTTGACCCAAGTCACCTACCAGGTGGGCATTCATAGCCACAACATCAGCAGCATGCCTTGACCCAACACTGTGGGAAAGTTGGCTACTGCTTATATACCATGTCCACACCCATGCCTCATTCTGGTACATCATGTCATCAAATTTTACCATGACTGAGTTCTCCATGACCATGCAATACATGGGTATGTGATTTTGTTGCCTTGTAGCAGTGATGCAAAAGCCAGATTGGTCTGAATACTGGCAGCCTACTTAATATCAATATTTGCTGGCAGAAGTGGTAAGCCATTGTCCCTGTGGTGGTGCAATTGTTGAAATCAGTATAGGGTACAATGGAGCATCTGATGGGTGCAGCATCTTGCCATCCCATCACCATGATCATGCCACTTACAGCCAACCAGCTGTTGACCTATCTGAACAATCATGAACACAGTCCCCACAACATCATAGTGTTCATCAAAACTTTGAATCCCCAGGTTACAAGGATTAAGGAGTGCCTCATTAAACTTGTGACTGCAATGGCCCATGACTGGTGGCAAGTGGACTGTGGCCAAGCAGAATTGGGATATGAGAAGAGACCACTCCAGAAAGTAATTGCTGAAGCAGCAGAATTCTGTACAGGGGTAGCTGTATGTGGTGGCAATACTTCATTGGCTTGCCACTGACCCATTGAGTCAGAATGGTGGCATTTCCCTACTGCTTCTGATCAATTCCCACCCATCACCCACTGCAGAACAAGCTGCACTTCATGCCATGTGCACTGAAGGCTTGAAGGATATTGATCAGGAGCTCTCATATCTTTCCAAGCTAATCTTGCAATTGCAGGAGAGGATGACATCATTGGAAGCCATAACCAGATCAAGGCTTGCATTAGAGGTTGCATGGGTGGAGTTGGTGTCTAAGGTGTGAGAATGAGCATACACCATTTGTAGACCATATGCACATTCTATCATTGGTTTCATTTGGACCAGTAATGGCACAGGATCAGTACCATCAGTAGCAGTCTATTATACATGGCCCAATGCCAATCCTTTGACCACCTCTAGTAGGGGCCTGGGGTGGAAACACAGCATGGCAGATCTACCACCCTTTCCCACAGGTGTCCATCCATTGCTGCCTCCAGTAACATAGGCCAGTCACTAATCAAGAGCTGAATGTTGCTGGTGGTGCTGGGAATTGTTAAGACCTCCATCCAGAATGAGTGAACATGGCAACAGTCTTCCATAGTGTATTCCTAAACCCACAATACAACAACATTCTCATTTGTGATCTAGCTGGGCCATTCCCTATGATGCCAATTGGAAAGTGATATTATAGCTGCCAACTGCCACTATGCCCAATTGAGCCCATTGTTGCCAGATTAGCCAGTGATATGATAGCTGCCCACACTGGCTATGCTGCATCGAGCCCAATGTTGCTGGATCACCTGTTGCTGATTGCCAATGGATCAGCTCACTGATTGCACCTGGCCTCCCAATCACCACTGCCAGTATGATCCATGCTACCATTGTTCTGCACTGCTCTGACCATTGTCCCATTCATTGCTGCTGGGTGGTATTGGTTTCCTCAATCTCATCCCATTAGAAATGTCTACTGCCAGCCCATTGCCTGCTGACTATCTACTTTCAGATCAGCTTGTGGTGTACATGCACCACTGCTTTCTCCATGAGACTCATCCTTGCACCTCTGCCCCACTACCTCATCCCCTTGAACTTGATGTCCACACATGCATTGCAATCAATCAAATGTTGGCAACTCTGGCCCAGGCATATCATAATCCCAGTGAGCCATTTCAGCAGCAGTGTACTACATCCCATTAACATTTACAGCAGTTCCATGTGGCATTGAATTAATCCAGCTGTCAGAAAGCCTATCACCTTGAGAGACTGGCTTCAACATGGACCAAGAGTCCTGCATCCTTTCCACTCACCCACCATGTCTGAGTGGGTTTTTGGATACTCCTGCCATTATTCTGGGTGAAGGGGATACAATTGCTTTGTGGTATCTCCCCAGTGCCATATCACAAGCAATGCAGGTAAGAGTTGTGATGAACCCCACTGTCCTCACTTCACAACCCTACCAAGGACCAGATGGTTGGAGCCATTCCACCACTTTCCAATATATTGACAGTGCACTTGGGTTGGGATCTAGTCACTTCAGTCAACCTCCTTTGGAGACATATTAGGTCTACATATTTCTACAGATGTATATACCTATGAGGTCTTGACAGGTTGGGTATCCCTGACCACTGGTGGGGAAAGTTTTTTCTCCAGCACCATGCCTGGGGATTCTCCAGGCCCCCTATGGATTTCTCCACAATTAATATATGTTTCCCCAAATATGTCAGAGTGACTGGGGTCCATATGGGTCTTTCTCCAGCTGAAATAGGGTCTCCATTGGACTTTCTCCATGCCAATAAGGACCCAAATGAGGGTTCCCCAGCTGAAATAGGACCTCCATGGGACTTTCTCCATGCCAAAAAGGACCCAATGGGGGTTTCTCCAGCTGAAATAGGACCTCCACAGGACTTTCTCCATGCAAAAATAGACCAGAATGAGAGTTTCTCCAGCTGAAATAGGGCCTTAATGTGCCTTTCTCCATGCAAAAAAGACCCAAATGGTGCTTTCTCCAGCATAAATAGGGCATCCATGGGACTTTCCCCACACCAAAAAGGACCCAGATGGTGCTTTCTCCAGCAGAAATAGGGCCTCCATGGGACTTTCTCCACACCAAATGGTGCTTTCTCCAGCTGAAATAGGGTCTCCATGGGACTTTCCCCATACCAAAAAGGACCCAAATGAGGCTTTCACCAAATGGGTTGGGAGAATCTCCAAGCAGGTATGGGGAATCTCCATGCAAGTGTGGAGATTCTCCAAGTGGGTTGGGAGAATCCCACTGGGGAGTGAGCAATCAAATGTTTTTGATATGTTTTGGCAATCTCCACTATTTTATTTGTGTGTTTTGGAGTTTTCCCACACATATGGGATGTGTAATTGGCTTCCTGTTCACTCAATTCCCAATGGACTGCCCTGAAATCTTGTACATAGATAGATGCTGACATGGAGAATCCAGCTGAGGTATTAAATGTGGCATGCACCCAGTGAGGGATGCATGGTGGGATGTTTTCTGGCTGTGTTCAATCCTGTTATATCCCAGCAACCAGAGATTTTGATTGGTTGATCTTTGGACATGATATAGGTACTATGTAGACTGGTTCACCTACCAAAATAGAGAACATTCCATTGAGGAATGAATGAGTAGTAACATGATTGATGTTGTAGCACAACCACACTCTGGAACAGCAAGCATTCAGGGGCAGCTTGGTCACATGCCAGGTTCAGAGGGTCAAACATGAAGTGAGTACAGTCATGTGATGTCATATGACACTGGGTTTGCACCTACATGTGACCTCTCCAGTCAGCTGAGGTGCCTGATCATGTGACCAGTCAACCATGCTGCCCCATGACTATCTATCATGTGATCTCAGGTCATGAGACTGTGGCAGTGACAGTCACATGATCACTCATCACATGACTGGGGTAGCATTGCATTTGGCAGACATTAGGGCACATGACCATTACATAATCTGTCATGTGATTGCTGCACATGACCTTACATCATGTGATCCTTTGTCATGTGACTTGCCCACTACCACTCAATGCTACACTTTCTGTAGTCAATGGTAGTCAACAAAATGCACTACCAAAGTGTAGCATAGCCTACACTACACAACACTAATAACTACTATAGCCAGTACTGGTACTACATTACCACCCCAGGAAGTGTAAATGGAGTGATGTCATCATAATAAATGTTGTAGCCCCTGATTGTACAATCATGACCATATGCTTATCTTATCAGAAAGTGGAATTTTGCGTGAGAAAAACACAAAATACTTGGAAAAACACAATTGTTTACACTAAATGTCACTTCTCCACAGTTAGATGGAGATTCTCCCAACCCACTTGGAGATTCCCCCAACTCACTTGGAGATTCTCCACACCTGCTTGGAGATTCTCCCAACTCACTTGGAGATTCTCCACACCTGCTTGGAGATTCTCCCAACTCACTTGGAGATTCTCCCCACTTGCTTGGAGCTTCCCCACACCTGCTTGGAGAATCTCCCAACCCACTTGGAGAATCCCCACACTTGCATGGAGATTCCCCACACCTGCTTGGAGATTCTCCCAACTCACTTGGAGATTCTCCACACCTGCTTGGAGAATCTCCCAACCCACTTGGAGAATCTCCACACTTGCATGGAGATTCCCCATACCTGCTTGGAGATTCTCCCAACCCATTTGGTGAAAGCCTCATTTGGGTCCTTTTTGGTATGGGGAAAGTCCCATGGAGACCCTATTTCAGCTGGAGAAAGCACCATTTGGTGTGGAGAAAGTCCCATGGAGGCCCTATTTCTGCTGGAGAAAGCACCATCTGGGTCCTTTTTGGTGTGGGGAAAGTCCCATGGATGCCCTATTTATGCTGGAGAAAGTGTTATGCCCAAGCCAAGTGACTTTGTCAAATGGACTAGGCATGAATGGCATGAGGGGGAGTCTATGGGCTGAACCTGTCATAACCCCTATGGCTCAGTGTTATTGATGATATCTGACAGGGGTCTTGTCTGCTGGCAAGTTTGATTGGGTATGGTATGGCAGTATAAATACCTCAGGACTAGAGTACCATACCAGTTGTGCCATAGAGGCAGTAAGTATCCACAGTAGTAAACAATGAAATAGAAACAAGTCATATGGTGTCATATGATGGGGATAGGCAAGGAAATGGAGGCTATACCAGCTGCACCATCAATGTGCAGTGAGGAGCTTGACACTGGAGCAAGAACTAAACAATGGAAATGAGTCAGAAGAGAAAATGAAATATGTCCATCAAAGATGGGTGGGGAAATGAGTCAGTGTGACCACAGTGTATGCAGCATCAGTAGGTATTGAAAATACCTCCAGTGCCAGGTTTCCAAGGGCATGCTGAGCAAGTACTCCAAGGACAATTGAGGTGAGGACACATGACATGATGAGGCATGTGACACACATGACTTTGGTTTGGCAAAAAGGAAAGACCCCTGATGAGGTCATAACATCACCCCCCCTCTAAGGTCCTCAGACCCTTGAGGATGAGGGGCAAGTGTTGGTGGATGAGGAAAGGGGGTGGTGAGTGGTATAGATGCAAGAGCAGGTATGGGATGCAATGGGCAACAGAGGCAATGGGGACAGTGGCTCCTTGAGGGACAGCATATATTTTGACCCACAGCCATTTTGACAGAACCAATGTCCCAGGTAATGACATTGGAAGTAGGCATGAGGGCACAAGGGGTGGCCATCAGGGATGGGAGACTGTCCCCTGAGATAGTAGCAAAGTTGACTCTCAGGGACTGGGATGAAGGGAGCTGCAGGGAGAGGGTCGGTGGTGTGGATAGCATTGAAATAATGTTTATGGGCACCAGCCCAAGATGCATCCTGTAGTGACACCTCCCAAGCAGAGTTATGAGTCCCCAACCCAACTCTTAGACTGACCTGCTTAAAAACTGTCATGTTAACCTCCTTTTCTGACTTTGAAGGGGTATCCAGAATGACCAGGTCTTCCTTAGGTTTAATGTGATCAAGAAGTTGCAAAGCAGCTGGGGTAAGGAACCACCCAACCTGCTGATCTTGAAGGTGATGGTAGGCACCACCAGTCATGGCTTCTAAAATGTCTGAGTACCTGCATTCCAGCATGTTGATCATTATAACCTCCAAGAGTGGCACTGTACTGGAAAGCTTTCAAGTATATATCTTGCTGATGCAGTGACCAATCATGTCTGATGCTCTGTAGATTTCAGACAGCAGCCCAAAATACTTAACTTTTTCTGGTGAGCACCCATCAATGTTGTCCCCTTCATGGAAGACATCAAGTGCCCTGACAATGTCCAGGTAGTCACCTGCTGCAATTGGTAATTGCAGTGCATCATCCCTGGCAGCAGCAACAGTTGTGAGCAGATCAAGGGTGGCATGTTGGGCATTGTCAGAATAGGCTGTGAAGGTGGTGCAAATGTCAGTAGACCTGGGAGCATCAGTGGGGCAGCTCAAGGTTCCTCTTTGATCAGCATCATGGTCAGACTTCTCTTTATCCTTTCCCTTTCCTCTGAGCTTACTGACTCCACTGGGGGAGCCTCTGGGCTTTGGGGCAGGGACATGGCAGATTGAGAAGCCCTGGTGTGGATGTGGTCATAGAGGTCTGGAGACAGGAGGTGTGGGTACCTGCAGCTGTGAGATGAGGGACAAGGTGTCTGACTCAGGAATGCAGGAGGAGGTGGACAGGGGAGGGGAGTTGTGACAGATGGTGATGGGGGGCATGAGTAACTCAGGCCAGTCATTTGTGGGGTCATAAAGGGATTCACAGGGGAGAGCAGCATAGTTGTTATCTGTGTTTACTGAGCAGGGAGAGTCCATTTAATTTCTGAGGTGTCAAGTGAGTTTGTACTGGTTGAGGGCCTCAGAAGCATGGTCCTTTATATGTTCTTCAGGCTCCCAAGTATTTGACAAATGGGGGAACCCTTTCCACTTGACCAGATATTTGCACTGTCCATGATGACCATCAGTCTTATGATTAATAATTGACTTGACCTCCCATTCAATTTCATCATCAACCAACTCTGGTAACAGTGCTGTGGGCACAGCTCCATGTACCTTGTTTTTGACAAACAGAAAGATGTGGGAGGCATGGAACACAGGATGAACCTTCCAAGTCAGTGGGAGGTCCAATTGGAAAGCAACAGGTGACACAACCTGAGTCACTGTGAAGAGTCCAAGACATCAGGGCACAATCTTGTCACATTGGTTTTTGATCCTAAGGTTGCCTACATAGGAGGTCTTGGTACTGTCTTCAGCAACCACTACACAAACATTGGAAAGTTGCTTCTTCTTGCAGTCACACTTGTAGTGACCCTTTTCTTGACAATTATGGCAAACAATCTCTGACCCTGATTGGCACATGTTCTGTTTACATTTATTGATGTCCATTGTGTTAGGATCTCAGGAACTTGCTTGGAAATGAATAAATTTCCTTTCATACTGAGACTCCTTCCCTTCTAGGATGTGCTTTGTGGCAATGGCTGTTCTTGCTTCTCCCATGCATTGGATGCACTCAATCACCATTACTGGTGCTTGTCCAGAGTTTAAGATCCAGTCATGGTATTCCTTGTTCAGCCCTTTTCTGAAGAAAATCCCAGCTTTGTGCAATTCTTCTTTCAACTGGGCCTTATTGACCAGCCCCATGAATTTGGCAATACAGGCTTCTAGCTTTCTTTTCTCCTGCTTAATGTCTGACAACTGAAGGATGGTGAGTGTGGTGTGATCTCCAGACTCAAATGTTGCCTTGAGTCATTCCATGAACCTTTGGAAGGTGTCCATGTAATAGATGCTTCCATCGAGTAGCTTATTTTCATTTTGGTAATTTTCCACAAATGACACCACTGCTCCTGTGGTCATACACATAAGTGTGAATGAGATCTTGAGGGCTTCCATATTGTTGATGTGTCTGTTCAGGTTGAGATAGCCTTCTACTTTAAATACCTCAGGACTAGAGTACCATACCAGTCACTCCATAGAGGCAGTAAGTATCCATGGTAGTAAACAATGAAATAGAAACAAGTCATATGGTATCATATGATGGGGATAGGCAAGGAAATGAAGGCTATACCAGCTGTGCCATCAATGTGCAGCAAGGAGCCTGACACCAGAGCAAGAACTAAACAATGGAAACAAGTCAGAAGAGAAAATGAAATATGTCCATCAAAGATGGGCAGGGAAACAAGTCAGTGTGACCATGGCATACACAGCATCAGTAGGCATTGGAAATACCTCCAGCACTGGGCTTCCAAGGGCATGCCAAGCAAGTACTCTGAGGACAATTGAGGTGAGGACAAATGATGTGATGAGGCATGTGACACATGTGACTTTGGTTTGGAAAAAAAGGAAAGACCCCTGATGAGGTTGTAACAGAAAGCACCATTTGGGTCTTTTTTTGCATGGAGAAAGGCCCATTGAGGCCCTATTTTGGCTGGAGAAACTCTCACTCTGGTCTATTTTTGCATGGAGAAAGTCCCATGGAGATCCTATTTCAGCTGGGGAAACCCTCATTTGGGTCCTTATTGGCATGGAGAAAGTCCAATGGAGACCCTATTTCAGCTGGAGAAAGACCCATATGGACCCCAGTCACTCTGACATATTTGGGGAAACATATATTAATTGTGGAGAAATCCATAGGGGCCTGGAGAATCCCCAGGCATGGTGCTGGAGAAAAAACTTTCCTCACCAGTGGTTGGGGATACCTGACTTGTCAAGACCTCATAGGTATATACATCTGTAGAAATATGTAGACCTAATAGGTCTCCAAAGGAGGTTGACTGATGTGATCTAGTTAGCTTACTGTCACCACAATGAATAAAGCCTACAGTGGATCTTGTAAGGGGAACTCATCCTCCTTGTTTGAGTTGTGGTGGGAGAGTGTGGATGGGCAGGTGGGTGTGGCAGCTTTTGTGCTTCCCCTCATACCAAGTACATTCATGCTAAAGTTGGGATGAAGTTAGTTTGCTGTCAATACCATGAGTAGGATGTATGGTGGATCTTGTGAGGGGAACTTGTTCTCTTTGTTCAAGCTGCAGTGAGAGAGCATGGATGGAAGGGTGGGTGGCGACTGTGATTGGTTGGTAGGCATCAGCGAGACAATGCCAAATGGGATGTCCTCCAGAGTTTGGTCTCGACCAGGAGGGCATGGCAGCTCCTTGTGGTTTGTATTTGCAAGATCTGAAACAAGATGGTCTTCCTGTGTTTCACAAGCCTATAAATATCAAATACATTACCTGTTGGAATGGTGTCAGCCAGCTGCTCCACATGCTGTGAACCTCCCATGGTTTCTGTCATTGAATCTCCAAGTACAACCATCAGTAGCAGAATGCATAGAGAGTGATGAACCGACTTTTACACCATTTAGTGGGCTCATGGACTGGCTGGGTATCACTCTCATGCTTTTTACCTTTGTTATCCATAGGTGGCATGGCATCAGGAAATTCTAGCTTCGACTCTTCCTTTGGTTTGGCTTTGTTTGATGAAGGTTCCTTCCACTTGCTGTTCAATCCCAGGTGATTCTTCTGCCAGCCAGAATAGTTGTTTACACAAAGCATTTCTAGCTTGAAACCATCTCCATTGAGTCCAATGAGGGGGTGTTCTTTGACCATAATCTTGTAGACAAGCACTTTTGCTGATGCACCAATCTTCATCCATGTTCAGACCCTTCAGTCACCTGTAGGCCTGAAAGTGGGTCATCTGGCATGTACATTTTGTCCTAAAAGTGGGACTGACTGATGTTGGCTGATGGTGCCCAAAGGTGGGTAGGCTGGTGTGTGGAGGTGGGATTGGCCAATGTCATTGGGTGGAGGATTGACTAGCCTAAATGTGGTATTGGCCAACCTCATGGGGACATGGATGTACCCCATGGAAGTGGGGTCAGCCAACCTGTTTGGAGGGTGGACCCACCACCTGGAAGTGGGTTTGGCCAACCTGTGTGGAGGATGGTCCCACAGCCTGGAAGTGGGGTTGGCTGACCTGTTTGGAGGATGGTCCCATGGCCTGGAAGTGGGTTTGGCTGACCTGTTTGGAGGATGGACCCACAGCCTGGAAGTGGGGTCAGCTGACCTGTTTGGAGGATGGACCCACTGCCTGGAAGTGGGGTTGGCTGACCTGTTTGGAGGATGGACCCACCACCTGGAAGTGGGTTTGGCCAACCTGTTTGGAGGATGGTCCCACCACCTGGAAGTGGGTTTGGCCAACCTGTTTGGAGGATGGTCCCAGTGCCTGGAAGTGCAGATGGCCAACCTGTTTGGAGGATGGTCCCACCACCTGGAAGTGGGGTCAGCCAACCTGTTTGAAGGTTGGACCCAGTGCCTGGAAGTGGGGTCAGCTGACCTGTTTGGAGGGCAGACCCACCTCCTGCAAGTGGAGTTGGCTGACCTCACTGGGAGATGCACATACCCACACCAATAAGAGATTCAATTTTGGTACCTTCAGCTTTCTGTCAAAACTTGTATGAGGGCATTGCAAGATAGCATGGAAAAGTACAGAGTAAGCACCCTCTGCATTACTTGATTTTTGGCCTTTCAGCAGGTCTCCCTTCACCACTAGGCACCTTTTGGTTGTGACCCCCAGTAGCCAGTACCACATCAGCATTCATCACTAAGTGTTGTGGAACCCTCCCCCCTTTGTCCCAAGGAGCAACCAATCTTGACAGTCTCTTGCCATGTCTCCATTCTTCATGTTTGATCCTAATCTAATATTCTGCACTTAGTTGTCCATCTGCTTGTTTTCTTTTACATCTCTTGTCAGGTTAGAACTGATCCTCTCACCCAAGGGGGGTCTAAAGCTCTAGGGATCTGCTGATGCTCACTGACAGGTAGCAATGCAGTAACATTACAGCTGAGATGTTATGAAGTTGATCAAATGATACTGAACACAAAGTGGACCTGCTCTGTAGTTGACATGTTATGTAGCAGTGTCCTTGTACATCAGCAAATGTGTCGGAGTCTAGCAAGGCCGGGTTAGACCTTACTAGGCTTACTTGGCATAGTAGACATTGCTAGGTTAGCAGGACCCAGTTAGAATCCTCTCATGCTACCAGTCTAGCAGAATCCTATGGGGCTAGCAGGATCTGCCTGGCCCTGCTTGGTCTCGGATGACCTCTCTGGCCTTACTAGGCCTTGCATGACCTACTTAGTCATGTTAAGCCTACTGCACCTTGCTAGGCCTTGCATTGCTCAACCAGCCTTACTAGGTGTTGCAACAGGCCATGTCTTGCTAGGGCTTACTAGATCCTTGGTTTCATACAAATAGACAACCAATCACAATTATATTAGTACAACTGCATACAACTCTAGTGTGCCAGACAAATACAGGACTGTGCAAGAAGCATACCAAACAAATACAGAAGTGTGCAATTTGGTGAATGAGAGTGTGCAAAGTGAATCAGAAGGGTCCCTCCTGAATGTGAAAGCATCTAAGGTGAATACATGAGTGTCCTAGGTCAATGTACAAGCATCTAAGGTGAATGCGAAAGTGTTCAATGCATGTACAAAAAGGTGGAACCAGTATGAGGAGTGAGAGCAATTAGAAACCATTCTTCTGTTTCCTAGGAGGGCGTCCAACTCAGGGTTGGTTATGGGCATGCGCCATGGCATTGCATGTCTTTGTGCCAGGGAAGTCCACAGTGTCTGCAAAGATATCCTCTTGTTCTACAGGTTTCTTGTGCCATTTGTTTACTGGTGCAGCTTTCTTGTGGGCAGGTGCCAGCACCTCAGGGTCTTCGTTTCCATTAGTAAGAAGGGAGGCAGCACATTGCTTGTTTGCTGGAACAGTCTTGTGGACAGGTGGAGGTGCCTTGTCCTCCATGTCTTCACCTTCATCACTTGTAAGTGGGGAGACATCATGCTCAGGCCAGTGCTGACCATTTGGATGGATTACTGGTCCATTGACACTTGCAATGGAATTGTTAGTGTTCTCACTAACATCGGAGTCACAAAACAAAGATGATGCTGGTGCACAGCTTTGAGATACAACATGAGCAAGCATCCTAAGGATCAATAAACATAAGAGTCTTACATTTGCATGGACACATTAGAGGTTGGCAGGTTCCTGGACACCTGCTTGGCATGTTTTGCTCAGATCTGTAGGATGTCATCATCAGACTCAGGATCTGGTCAAGTCTGCTCCTTGTTCTTGGATGCTGTGCCATTGCGAAGGCGTTGTGGGAAAGCATGCCTAACAATAATTAAGTCCAGTACATGTTTGGCATGCTTATGGTGAGGACAACATATGTGTTCCACCACTCAAGGGTCTCATGTGTCTGGTCATTTGAATGCTCAAACATCTCAATGATCATCCATGACATTGCCTGCAGGTCAATGTCTCCAAATTCATTGGCCCATTTGGGTGCCAAACTCAGGGTAAGATATGCCTCAATTGTGGTTAGTGTCAGACAACTTGAGACTGGTGGGAATGACACTTACAATTATGTGTACATGTGCAATGATATGCAGTGTAACTCTCAGAAGATTCCATGTGCAGTTCTTTGATTTCTTTGATGTGTTGCTTGTAACATGACTGTTTGAAGCTGCACTTGGTCCAATAAACAAATACACATAGAACTGGAAAGCTGTCAATTATGAACATACACCAATGCAAAGTTACTCACCTGCCAAGCAATGTGGCCCCAGAAGAGCCCTTTCAACTGGTCTTCTGGGTCATATACACTGTCTTCATAGAAAAACATTGGCCAGTTGAATGTGGTTGCTGGAATAGAACCATCTTGAAGGCCCACCATCATGCTGTCAAATGCTTCTGAGTAAATTATGAAAACAAGAAAACATATTACACTTATGCATCTGGGTTCCTGTTGAACATCTCCACCTTCTTGTGTGGGCACAGAAGGTGTGCAAGTTGTGTGTGATTGAACCCTTGGTTGGATTTATCTTCAGTTTTTTGTATCAGAGGGTCAAAGATGAACTTCCCATCCATGTTGAATGGGACATATGCTAAGTCTGCATGTTTTACAGTGGAGAGATTCATTGATCATTGTTCAGTCATTCCTGTTGTTATCTAGACACGAATGTTACCATTTTATTGCATAATTGTGCACTTGTGATTTACCTTATCAGCGATCTTTGTGAAATCATTGCTGTCCAGGGAACAGGCCCTCAGTGCATCTTCCAGCCAGGGGAGATGTACAAGAATTGCTTCATAGGCGGCAACATAGCTTCAAGGTCCCTACATGTCAACAAAAATCAGTGATGCTGGTTAATGAAGGGTGGGGCTAGTGACATGTCAATATCCTGCTCTTGACCATGGGACTCAGTGATCCCATCTTCAAGTGCAGTGCAAGGTGAAACATATGGGTTAAAAAGACATGCTAGCTTCTGGCCAGCAAGATCACATCCAGCATACAGACCAGTGTCACCCACATTACACTTTGGCACTGGTACTTCAGCATTCTGCTTTGGTGCTGGAGGTTCATGCTCAGATGGCACAAGGAGGGTGGGATTGATGTTGTCAAATGAGAATGTGTCAGATACAGTGGACATGTCAGTAATGGTGGAAGGGGGTGGAAAGAGATGGAAGAGGCATGACATGTCAAGATGTGCTTTTGACTCAGATGAATCCAATCAAAAACATCCTAAAAAGTTAGTGGTGGGCCTCACAGACAAAAAAAACAAAGTTACTACTAATGTCCACAGCAGATATCAAGTGTTTCTCCTGTGGAAAAGTGGTCCAGGGGGAATGCAGACTATCCATACATGCAAAAAAATGGTGTCCCAACAAAAAAACTGCAAATGAAAAATTATTACAGGAGTATCCTGTGTCTGTTCACAGACATGAGGCTGAAGTGAGCAGGCTATAATGCCTGCAACAAGAAGAGGCTGAAGCCCAAGAGTGAGAGGAATGGGAATGAGATGCACTGCATGCCAAACAGCTGGCAGAGTTCACTTGTTTGGGGGTGAGACTATGTTCTGCAGCAGACAAAAAAAGTATTCACCTTCATGACAGTTTGATGGGCCAGATCTAGGTGAAGATGTCAAATGTTGACCTTTGGGTCTCCCAAAGTGTGCTCAGTGACTACCCATGTGTTACCAAGATGAATTACCTGCTGGGCCTGTGCCTGTGCCTGTTGTCCAAGTCCCAGATGAGCAAAATGTGCTTGAGACCCCAGGCAATGAATACTACAATCCTGATAATCATATGGAGACTGGGTCAGATGGTAACTCATTGCAGTCAGACTCACCTTTATATCATACTGCACAGAATAACTATGGCTTGTTCTGGGAGTATGCAAGTGGGTTCCCAATGCATGACCCAGAGAGCAGGGCACATATTGAGCAGCTCTGTGATGGCTGTGCAATGCAGGACTCAGGCAAGGATGGAGAACCCTGGAATGCTCGGTTCAGCCACTTGCTTAAGCAGCTTCGGAAGAATTATTTCATGCCATTCCTGAATGCAACAGTTTGGTGCCTCATGTCCTGGTTCTATAACAGGTCCACACAGAAATCCCAATCTGATCTTGATAATCTGGTGCACAATGTTATCCTGGCAGCAGACTTTGATCATGAAGACCTGTGCAGTTTTGTTGCTCAACAAGAACTAAGATGAATGGATGAATCAACACTCTTTTCATCCAACTCATGGTGCACAACTAGTGTTAAAATCTGGCTGCCCTGTGAGGGAGTTAAAGTGCACAAAGAAAATGCCCCTGAATTTGAGGTCGAAGAGCTCCACTATTGCAAGCTCACTGATGTAATCAAGGCTGCCTTTGCAGAGATGGCTGCCAAAGAACATAATGCAACCCCTTACAAGTTATTTTGGCAAGTGGATGATGACACCATCCCAGAATGAGCCTTTGGCAAGGTCTACATGGCTGATGTCATGCTCCAAGAACATGAAACAATTAAGGCACATCTCCAAGATTGTAGCCTCGAAACTGTAGTCACTGCAATTATGCTTTGGTCAGACTTGACCCACCCTGCAAATTTTGGGCATGCAGTGCTCTGGCCAATCTATCTTTACCTGGGAAACCAATCAAAATATGTTTGTGCCAAACCAAACTCCTTCACTGCCCATCATCTTGCCTATATTCCAAAGGTGATGAGTACAAATATATAAATGATGTAATGTGCCTGACACCTGATCCTGCAGTTGTCTGACAAAATTCAAGATTTCTATCACAAGGTCTATGGTACCAGTGCTACTGCTCCTGTGCTCACCCACTGTAAGCATGAGCTGATGCAGGCCATATGGGCATTCCTTATCATGATGAATTCCTCCATGCATATGAACACAGTATGATAATTGAGTTTCCTGATGGAGCTAGTATGCAGGGTCCTTCCACAGCTTTTTACATATGCAGCTGATTATCCTGAAATGTATGTGTACTGATCACCTACACAAGCCACTACTAATAATGAGTTTACAGAATTCTACTTGCTTCTATGAAGTATTTTGGGGAAATACCTGTGTCCTGACTGTCTTGTTGGGAAAGAAAATATTGCGAAACTAGGGTCAAAGAGAGATTGTCAGGTCTGCAGAAAAAAGGCATGAGTGGAAAATGAGCCCTGGCAGTTTTCTATTGAACATGCATGCAATGCCATATTTGAATCTGGTCATAGCATCATTGTGGCTGTTGTCAAGAACATTCTTGGTGTGCTGTCCCTAGCTCCTAAATGGGCATGTACAAATTTTACCTCATTTGTCATACTTGCTGACACACTTCTAGAATGCATTCTCCGAGAAGTTATCACAATTCATGCATGAATTTGAGCTCAGAGCATGGAAAGTGACTTTAACCCACTTGATACAGATCCTATTCAAAGCAGGTGATGACAAAATTCAGGAATTCAATATGTGGTAAATCAGCTTTCATCTTCAAGACTCAAATGCTGACAATCTATAGCTTCCATTTGGTTCCAAGCTTTGGGAGGGACATAATCTGCAAGTTCAACACTAACATGTCAGATCTCTCAAGACTGGCTGCATGAGATTTTGAGGACATCTTACAAGTGAGTACCTCAGCTGTCTGTTGGAAATACCAGTTACAGTGTTTCTCATAGCTAATTCTAGACTTGCTTACTGGATGAGTTTTACTCATATGATGTCATGCTTGCTAAGTACTCCACTTAGCTCCACTTTATTCTATAATGTTCCATAACATTCTATACTATACATAGTATGTACTTTCTCCTTATGGTCATACTTACCATATGCACAACATAGTCACTGGCAAGATTCCAGATATCTCTTATTTCTGCACATTTGGTTGCAAAGCATATCTATGGGTGCCAAAAGAACAGTGAAAGGATAAACTGGACCCACATGCAATTGAAATGATTTTCTTAGGATACGAACCAAAAACAAAAGGCTACAGATTTCTTTATGGCCACAAGGTCATTCTCTCTCATACTGCCAAGTTTGTAGAAGACTCCTTTCCATTCTGTTCAGATAGTAAATGCAAATCTGATACCTCAAATGACCCAGTTTCTGAACCTGACCAACCTACTGGTCAAGATGACCTGGTTGAAAACCTTCCAGATTTTGGGATTGATCCTCCCAATCTTGGACCTCATCCAGTCCAACCACAGAATATCCCTCATCCTCCCCATTATCCAAACCCACAGCAGGGTGGTCAACAAAACAGACCATCATTACCTCCTAGATCACAAAGAGCACCTGCTGCTATTCCACTAGTTGACCCTCATGTTATTCTGCATCCTCAGGAACCTTATAATGTTCCCAGTGATCAAAGAAATCTTAGAAGGGCACACCTGGAACAAGCCAAAAACTGAGAACCTCATCCTAAAAGAAGGATAATCCCCACTTCTAGACCCAAAAATCTCTATGGAGATTGTCCTCCAGTCCAGATAGAAAGGGATATCCAACAAAATTGTGACACTGCTCAGGAGTGGATTCACAATGCCCAAAGAGGGGTTGATAATGCCAGGGAGTCACATAGGAGAATTCAGGAAGAAAGGAGACCACCATCACCTTTTTGGTCTCAACCACCTCCTGTTCATGAAGAATGGATCTCACATCCACCTCTTTCTCTGCTTACTCCTCTCCCTGATGACACTCCACAACCTGAGGCTGGTCCATCTCGAACCACCCATGTTGATGAAGATGAAGAAGAAAATAACAAAGGTCAATCAATGAATACCTTTGAACTCCTTGCAGGACGAGTAAAAGAGTCTCCAAAACATTACAAAGACATCCTTAAACTTAATCCAGAACTTCAGAAAAAGTGGTTTGAAGCAATGAAGGACAAGATTAAATCAATTGAGGAGAGAAATGTATGGACACTCATGGACCCTAAACCAGATCACAAACCAGTCAAGTGTCAATGGGTTTTCACTATTAAAAGCAATGGTCAGTATAAAGCTTGTCTTGTGGCCCAAGGTTTTACACAAGAATTCAGGACTGACTTTGAAGACATGGCACCTTCTCCCCAGTCACTCATTTTGAGACTGTTTTAATTCTTCTATCTTTCATGGCTCAGAAGAATTGGGAAATGAGTGCCCTGGATGTCAAGACTGCCTTTCGTTATGGCAATCTGGATGAAGAAATCTATATGGAACAACCAGAAGGTTCCAAAGTTAAATGTCAAGAGCACAAGGTCTATCAGTTGCTGTGTGCTCTTTATGGCTTAAAGCAAGCAGCATTAGCATGGAACAAAGCCCTACATGCTTCCCTTCTTTGCATGGGCTATACCAGATCCAAAGTGGATGCAGGGATTTATATTTTCAAATCCAATGCTGGCATGGTCATCCTCCTCATCTATGTTGATGA